GAAACTAATATCAAAAAAAGCATTAGTCAGTAATATATTCTGAATTTAGAAAAGTAATTTATCTAAGGTAATTACATCCATCTTGACACCTGTCCAATTCGTTAAAGATGAAGCTGAAAGCAGACGAAAACAAAAAAGAAAAGGTATATAGAGAAGTAAAGGAGGAGCATTATCCAGATTGCTGTGTAAGGCGGGAGCCAAGATTAGATAGAAAGCCATCCTTCCAGCTGAGATAAAATGTTGCAAAAATGGACCACTTCAAAACTTCTACGGGGATTGACTTTACTTGCCACCATCTGCTTCTTTCCTCTTTTTTTTTCTTGCCTTCCCCCCTCTCTACCTCATTCTATGAAATTCACATACGTCACTATTAAACTATTTTTTCTGCTTTTTCTGTTGATTTTACAGCTCCAGATAAATTATCCCATACGGAATTAAGCGAAAGTATTTTTGGTCTTCATGTTACATTTGATAAATTTATTATATTTACTCATCCGAGTATATAAACCTCCAAATATCTTGTAATTACTCGATAATTTGCAACCGAAATCGATCATCTGAGGGAGCAAATTATACGAATTTACTATAGAGAAAGCGCTTATAAAGTAAAATAATTAAGAAAAAAATAATTTAAAGTGATGCTGCGAAAGTATAATTATACTTTTTTTATGTTATGAAATGTTACTCAGCTTAACTTTTCACGTCTCATCTAAAAAAGGGGGGATTAATTTCTGTAAAAACAGGCTCATTATCTTAGTATAAACAAGTTAATTTATTAGTTACAAACTTGATTAATATCAAAAACCAGTAAACAGTCGCCATTAAAAACTAAATAGTTGCGTGTCTACTGGTAGATGAGATGAGAGATATAAATCTCAAGCTTTATAGCCTGTTTTACTTAAACATTTTCTAATTAGGTTATAATTTTTTACGAATATTTAATTGTATCGACACATCCGCATTGACGGGGAGGAAGAAGGAGGGGGAAAATGCCAAAAATCTAACAGAAAGTCAAGCAGATAGGCTATATATATATACGTCTATAGAAGGAACCAGTCCGATCTTGGCACAGATCTAATGGAAGGGACAGGCGCCATCCAACGCCCTGGCTGCAGCACGATATATGGCCCTCATTTGGTAGCTAATGGAAGCGGGAGTCTTATGGGGCATCTGTTTTCTGTCAGACAACGCCACACTTTACTCGACTGTATAAACAGTAATAAATAAATAATATAAGACTACGCAATTGGCAGGTAGTTATTCGAGAAAAAAGTGGTTTTTATTAATAATATTCCCATTTTGTATAAAGTTTTCTCTGTAACCTTCAGGCAAACATACTGATGTTGATATTCCTGCCATTATCTGCAGTAGCGTGTAAGATAGACAAATGAACTTTATAAATTGAAGTACTCAGACTCTATTTATTGTTTTAGTAAAAAGAAATCTTTTAGATTTTAACAAAAATATAATTAATTTTAATTCAATTAGAGACCCTACTTTAATCAAAATTTAGAAGAAAAAAAATATTCTTTTAAATTAAATTTTGATAAATTTTATAAATTTCTCGGTTGATTAATTATTAAAAATAAATTAAATTTCTTTTACAATTCATGAAAAAAAAATTGCCAATTTTAAATCAGAGCCGGATTTACGTGTAAGATAAACAAGCTATATCTTAGGGCCTCACTTTAAGAGGGGCCTCGTTCTATTCACGAAAACAGTTTATACATATTGCCTATTATTATTCGGTGGGAGGTGGAGGAAGAGCCTCTTGTATGTTGCCAACTTAGGGCTACAATTCTAAATCCGGCTCTGATTTTAACGCAATAAAAATGAATTTTTAATAAGAAACACTTAAAAATAAGTTTATTCGTTTATAAAATTCGAACTTAAAACATTTAAATTATTATAATTTACTCAATTCTAACATTAGCTCAGCTTTACAAGCAGATTTTATAATTTTGTTTTTTTTCAATTTAATTCAAGTATTTTCGCTTAAAATAGTTTAGAGGTCAGCAAAATTGAACAATTTTCATATCATAGCTTAAGATGCTATCGTGGGAGATAAGCAAAATTAATTATAAACGCAACGCTAGCCAGCTAGATAGGATTGTAACAAAATTATACACAGTGCATAGAATGACGAAGCTGATTGGCTAACGCGATTCACCAATCGCGAAGTGTATCCAATTGTATGGCTCGATACTCGTTAACTTATTTTTTTTTTTTCTGTCGTAATAAAACGAATGTAAATTAATTAATTAAATGAATCACTGTCACAAGTAATTGTTAATAAAACAAAGCTATTTAACGAAACTAAACGAGATAATTTATAAAAAGAAAAAAAAGATTGTTAATTTTAATGATGGCATCAATTGATGTCGCTTCGTATTGTCTCTCTTCTTCTCTAACAATTTATAGGAAAGAATATTTCCATTATTAAATTTTATTGTTCTGTTAATTCTTCGTTTCAAATATTTATCTATTTGCCGTTTGTGATAAGTAGAATTGTCCAAGGACGAACTTTGTCTCGGATCAAATGCTTTTACACGGGTTCTATGAGAAGCGAAACAAAGATGCCCTAACAATAACGGAATTTTGGTCTCTCGACTGGTGTTCTATTTTTGTAAATTTGTCAAAAACTATGACGTCATGACAAACAATGAATTATCTATGACGCAGATAGGCCCCGTTAAAACTCACCTGTTTCTTCTGTGACGGTGTTTGTTTAATGATAAGTTAAAAATAAAATTAAAAAAAAATACCAGCGTTAAAATTTTTTAAAGCTTGTTACATTAAAAATTGCAAATTTAATATGCTTTTTTGCAGTTTTATAACGGAAATGAATGGATTAATTCGAATGAAATACGTTTAAAATGGTAAATTCTTTCGGATGTATTAGCGAAGGATTAAGTATTGATACACCTGTCATAAATAAACTAATTGATAAAGGATAAATATTTATCTTAAAAATACTATATTTCTTTGAGTTCAAATTTCAACGGTTTAATTCTTACATAAACTAAATAATTCGATTGTTTAGGGAGTTATATATTTTGTTAAATGACAAAGAAATTCCTACTTTTTGCACACGGAATGGAAGTAGTAACTTAAAATATACATTCTCTCACCTGATCCTGGACTGAATATGTTCATTCACTTACGTATCCACTTACATTCTAAATCATAATATTAAATAAAGCGTATCTTAACATGAAAATTTATAATTTTTAATCTTTATATCTGTTCATAAACCGAATCTTATCAGTTTATCTGCTTTGTCCAATTTTTAAAATGGAGAAATATTGATTATCGCATGTTTACACAAGCAAATTTTCTTTATTTATTCTTTTAATCAATAAAAACAATTATCAGTTAGAATAATTTATTAATATTTTCAGAATATTTAGCCATTTTCCCCACCTAAACGTAATACAAATCAATTTAGTAAATCATTTTAAACACTAAATCTATAGGAAAGGAGCTTTGAAAAATATCCTCTATTGGTATATTAGTGACAAATTTAATACAGAGAAAGAATTAGTGAACATTAAAATAGTCAGATATAAGGCAGACCTCTCTAGACATGTGTTTAACCATAATAAATAACATTAACTTGTAAGTTATTAAAGTATGAATCATTCCTCGCAGCAAAAACACAAAATTATGGGAATGTAAATATGAATGTCAACATAGACTAAGTGTATTTTTTAACATTAAACTTCTATAATTTATACCAGAAAAAATATTATAAAATTAAATATATTGCCGAATATACAGGATTCAGTACAATTTCTGCTTTTGAGATGTGAAGTATTGTCATTTCTTCTATTATAATTTAGAATTAGCATTGTTAATGCCATTGTTTCTTTTAAGTAAGAGTTCACAATTATGTGTAATTTACATACAAAGTCATAAATTTTTAATGCATGTTCGCATGTTTTATGTGAGATTTAACAGTAATATAAATTAAATAAATACATATATAATCCCCAATTTAATTTATATAATTTTATCTGCATGGTTCTGAATAGGTCTTACTCATATTTATGCTCACTTATGTCTAGTTTAATTACGGTCTGCATTCATTAACCATTAGGCAACGAGAGGCGTGAATTATGTCGCACACGGCTTGATAAATGGTTATTGTGTCGAAATCTAGCAAAATGCGATAACTTAAAAAAAAATTATATTAACAAGACGCAAAAGCGAAAGAAAAAATGTAAAAATCGATTGGAACTTAAACTTAAGTGTAAGAAATTTAAATGCCTTACGTTAAATTTGACTTGTTTATGCATAAATCCTTGGTTCCAAATTGACATGACCTTTGTAACGACATATTGTTGAGTTTATGGAGGAAAACAACAGATGATAGTCATGAGCAGCTGTGCATTTACTCGCTGTGGCTGTATCGAGACATTTGCGTAGACATATCCATCTCAGCTGGAATGAGCCATATGTATAACTACAGATAATTAAAATGTACACAAAGCAGTAATTTCTTAAACCTTTAGCTGTGAAAAATAAGTAATTAGACCCATTCGAAACGAGTTAATTAATCTGATAAACCATGCTCACACACTGTTTACATCTAGCTGCGTTAGTGTTTTAAATATCTGAATAATGCCCTTCCCATATTTTTCCGTTAGAAAAGGAGAAAACTACTCTCTTATCCGTTTCTGCATTTGAACAATTTATGATCCCAACCTGTTTACATAGAGATTTCTAGCAGTGTTATATGATTAAATGCAAACGGGACACTATTCCTGCAGGATGATGAACTTATCAGAAAGTAGATAGGGCTTATTTTATAAAATCTCAAAATTGCTATCTTTCCAGATACAGTAAAGTACCGTAATATGATAAACATAAATAAATCTAATTTGAGATTTAATAAGATTATCTTCTAATCTCGAAATCTGTTTAATTTAAAACGAGGAATCTATCTTGATTTTGATCAGAAGAGACGTTGCAATGAGCGGGACTTCAGGAGGAATCGGATGTTGGAAAGAGATTCTTTTCCAAATAAGGGAGGATATATTTTTGAAAAATTGTTTCTATGTACTACCTCTGCATAACCTAACAACAACCTGGTTGAAACAGTGTCCTTATCAGCAGTTGCCATGTGAAAAGGTGGTCGCAAACAGCTTCAGATCATAGTCCATCTTTCAGCAGATAGCTCAGCGTATTTGTAAAATTCAAGGCTGAACCAATGAAAATACATTTCGTCGTCTAAAAGTCAACAACGCCAAATCGAAGACTAGGAAACAATGAGTAAAGTATAAGACGTCATTATAAAGTTTTGAAGCCAATGTTCCATTCTCTTTGTCCATAAGGAACAACCGTGTAGAACTACGAAAACGATCGGTAAGTCTCCGCTCGTATACTTTAACCATAAAGATTACAATACAATATGGGTAATAATTACCTTAGTTTCACTGCGTGGCCACCTCCTCCTTTAGGACCGTAGTGTCCGATTCGAAATTTTAATCAGGCTCTTGATATCTCTGGACAATTCATCTTATCTGAGTCTCAATATTTGCTGGATTATCTAAAATCTGCGGTTGTTAGGTTATATATCTTAGTTTTAAATGAGTAGATTTTACATCGAATTGTGATTTTAGGCATCTTTTCGTTTTATCTTCTGTCCACTTGATTACTTATCAAGTTTAATAAAGATAATTGAATTATAAGGTAAGAACTATCGAAGTGTCTATGGACTTTCGTGTGCAAGATGGCCGACTTCAGTTTGAGTGGTACGCCTCTCCTCATGGCGGTCGCTTGTGTGACGCAACTCTATAATGCGTTTTTACAAATTTTTCCTCTCTGTGAGGCANCTTCGGATCATCAAATGTTATGTGTACTGTACGTACTGTACGCATAACAAGTCGGCATAAAAATCGTGTGTTTTTTAATGGAGACTTTTGAATTGCCCTATGTAAAAAATGTTTAGATTTTATAAACCTTAAATTTATTGAATTTAATAACATTAAAAATTAATTTTACTGAAAAATGTATATTTCATCATGTATTTACTTTATGTACACGTATTTACTCTTTTATTAATAATTGTTTACATTTATTATGATATAATTATAATGGAATTTTTCAAAATTTTATAAAATGTTTTAAAATTTTCTTTTAAAAAGATAAATACTTCGTCACTAACAAGTAAGTTAATTTATAAATTTACAATCAGACATTACATACAGACATTACAAAAAACTACATTGTATTTTGAGAGCTTCAATATAGCCTATATATAAATTGTGGAATAGAACGTACTGTACCTACAAATTATTATTATTTTGATTAAATTAAAGGCTTTTTGGTAATTAATTGCGTTAGTATTTATAATCAATACTATAATTTTTAATATTTTTAATGATTTTTAAAGAATTTTTTGGTTTTACTGAAACTAAATTCGCTTAAAATTATCTCAGAAATTCTATAAAAATATTTTTAAAAATTATTTTCCTTATTTATCGAATAGTTTAAAGGGGGGATTTCAACCTTTTCTGCTAGTCAACCCTTTCTACACCGATACAAAATAACAACAACAAATTAAAAAATTGCGTGTTTTATTTTAACAAAATTTTAAAAGAAAGTAATAATATATAAGCTATTTAATAAAAATTAATTCATCTACCGCCACTCAAATGACAGTAATTTAGCTACTCCCCTGATAAACCGATTCATCTTTAGGGGGTCATTAGTGATACGAAACCTCGATTTAATGCATTTAGGATATAAAAAAATTCTTATAAATAAAGACCATTGTAGCACTATATCGCGAACGAATAAATTGTACTTGATGGCTTGCGAACCAAATTATCCCACTGGATAATCTTTAAAATTAAAAAAGTTTAAATCTTTGTATGTTTAGAATTAATTTGAACACTTTTAAATGATATAAATCACTTTTACTAATAAATTTTTATATTTTTTTTAACTTGATTTTTGTAATATTTAGTAAGATTCATTAACTAATGTGAAGGAATTTATATGCAAAATGCAACTTTTTTTTTAATGTTGTAATTCCGTTTAGATGACAGGAATAATGCTTTAAAAATGAATGTTGTTATTTTATACCCCAAATTTTTAAAAATATTTATATTTTAATTGTTGGAGCTTATTCTACAGGATGTACTGTACAAATTTTATAGGGATTTTCAGTAATATTTGTGTGATTTAATTCGCTTTAAATCCCTAATTTATATAAAAGTTTAGTTTTAATGTTTTAGACACAATAAAATATTAATTTTTCAATTTATTGAACACAGATTTATCAAATTTATTAGTTTATTTAGGCATAAAATGTTGATTTTTCGTAGTGAGTCGTCCATTAAATGTGTAGGCCTACAGTTTAAGAAGTTAGGAAAAGTACACACCCGATGGGGGAGGGAGTTTTTATTAGTGTTAGTAGAATACGAATTTCTTATAAGCCTATTTCTTAATCATGTGAATAAACTACCTAGGGGTCCATGAACTGTTACACACGTAATTAAAGGGGAAGGAATCTGTCAAATGTACTTTACATCATTGTACACAACAGGGAGGGGCGTTAAAAGTTGCTTTAAAACTGTACAACCCCCTTCTTCCAGTTTACTCAGTAAGTTCTAAGCAATTCTGTGCCGAAATTTTATCGATTTTAATAAAGTAAACAAATATTTATTAGTTATTTAAACTACGTTTCAACAATACTTTAAAATTCGAATGCATTTATGCCATTTTCCTAAAATATCCTGACTTCGTAATGTTATTGACTTACAAAACAATAGAAAGAATTGTCTATAAGGTTGAGTATTGTCAACCCCAAAAAGCAATTTTCAAGGAAGAAAACTGTAAATATTTTTTATATTTTAAATATCCTGTTGAGTTACAGTGGCGCGCGTTATAGCTTCATGGGAGTCAGGCGAATTTGAATTAGGGGCCCCATGTAGTACTGTACAATGTTGACTACAGACATTTTTCCTAATGTTTTCTTATATAAGTTGGCGCGGTCCCCAGGCAATTTCCCTTTCTGGCTGGATCACGCGTTATCCTTTGGGAATTGCCCTTTTGTTGTTACCATTTCCTGTGAGAATAGCAATAACAAAAAGTCTGTTAGTAGATTAAAAAATTATAGAAAGATATTTTATTCAATAACATACTTCTTTTTACAATATGCATTTCGGCAAAAATTACTGGTTTGGCCCTCTTCGGTTTTACTATAAAAATTTAAGTACTGTACAATACGTAAAAATTACAATTTATAAATTATTCTCTTTTGATGATTACTTATAGTTAAACTGTTTACATTTAATATTAAATTATAAACACTAAAATAGTGTGGCTAATTATTACAAAAAAAAAAACACTTCTCTTTGTTTCACGATAATTGTTATTGGTAATTACCACTTATAATATATTATTTACCCATTAATTCAATTATTTAACAAAAATACTTGCTGTAAGCTTTAAACTCTGAGAATTTTTCTTTACTTCTCGTTATTTCCACCTGAACTTCCTGTATTTAGGTAGGCATCTATAATAACGTTTTCCTGAAATGCCACTCCAAAGTGCAGTAATTTAACTAATTAGCAGCCCACCAATGGCAGGATGAATGAGACCACAAAAAAAGTAGTGGTTGCGAGTTCGTACCGCAAAGTAGGGTTTCCAAATTTCTTTCACGTGCAAAACACATAAATAGGGCCAAGTTTTCTGTAGTCCGACCGTTAGACGTCCTTTGGTACATCGCCAACGTGTCCAGGTGCTCTATTCTACCCAAACCATCCAACCAGCCGTATAGCATCATCCTTATATTTAAATTATACAGGAGTATTTTATACAGAGTACAGTAAAATTATACAGGAGTAAATTGTCAATTGTCATATAGCCCGTAAAATCGTTTGATTTCGTTACTACAGCTAACTTTGAAGATGTGTCTGGAGACACTGGATACAGTAATACAGTGGCTGAGTAAGATTTATTATAAATATGATAATTTTCTATAATTTAATTAATTAATTTATAAATTACTTTACATAAAACTAGTTTATAATTTATTTATTTATTTAAAAATTTTTAAAATCTTTAGGATATTTTAAGCTTAAAAGAGACATTTTAATTGGTCCTGGTTCTAAGGCGTGGAAACGTATATACAGTAAAAGCGCGTATTTTTAAGATATTAATTTATAGAATAATTAGAAACTAATAAATACAGTGAAATCTCCCAATACAAACGCCTCTAAAAGGCGGCCATTTTTTCAAAAATGTTAAACAAAAATGCGTACAAAATATGGACAATTTTTTAATGTCTCCGTCAGTGGCCGTTCTTCACAGGTTTGTATATATTTAAAAAATATATGCAACATTTTTCTGCTAAAATGTTTAGAATTTATACATAAATATAATTTTAAAAAATAATATTTTATAGTCTAATTAGTAAATTTTATAAATTAGTTTTCAATGATATAACATTATATTAATGTAGTAAAACATGAATATTTGTCTCTAAAATGTTAAAACTGTAAAATTTTAAGTAAATTATTTTAATGTAAATTAAGGTTTAAAGCGAATTAAATCTTAAGTAAATTAACTGACAATCCTTTATCATGTAATATGTTTAGGCCTATATCAACAAAGTATCAAAAATTTTAAACATTTTAAATTAAAAATTAATTTTTTCTAAGTCATTTTACATTATTATTATAAAATTTATTTTAAAGTGATTACTCCTGATACAATGAGATAAATACTTAGTTACATAAACAAGATACATAAATTACTGAAGAGTAATTTATGTATCTTGTTTAAAAACCAAAAAAATAATCTAATTAAATAATATAAAAATTAAAAAATATATATATTTTTTAATAATAGAACTGAAAACTTTAATACTTTTTTGTAATTTTTTACTTTTTTTGTAATTTTTTACCATTTGAAATTAATTTTGATTTAGAATTTTAAGCATTAATTAGTGTACAGTTTAACTTTAATTTAGAATTTTAAACGTTAATTACTGTAAACTCTTAGAATCTTGAGCGTAAGTGAGTTTAAACTGCTTAGGCATAATCGAATTATGTCCGCACGACTGAATCCAAGGGGTTGTTTACTTAGTGTTAAATGGATTCTTACACTTACTTACATTTGTTAATTATTTCTAAGAATTCTAGGATGGTTCTTCAACGTAGTTTGACATAAATCCTTTTATTTCAAACTATGAACAAAGGAACAAATAATTTCAAATTATTTACGATACTCCATTATGACTTCATTTTAGGCCCTACATAATTTTAAAGGCGATTTTTAAACTCGATAAATTTTTAAAACTTAATCATCATTCCAATTTAGATTAAATTTGTCTTTAAAATTATTATTATAATTTAATAAATATATTAAGAGATATAACTAAATTTTCTCTGCAGAGCTTAGTAACTTTAGGAGGAGACATCCTTCCAACACATGATGTAGACATTCCAGCATCTTAAGGATCAGACAAACTATACAGGGTGTATCAGAATGACGTTTTAAAAATTTGGGGGATTGTAGAGGATAAAATTTTGAACGTTTTGATATCAGGAACCCATAGCCGGAAATGTGATTTAAAGTTTCTACAGCGGTAGGAAGTGCTTGACCGCTCTTCGCTTTGGTAGCTACCCTTCCGTCCATTGACGTCATGTTATTGTTTTTGACTTCTTCCTCTGTGGTTATGTAAAGTCCCTTGTGTACGCAACACCTGTAGGAACAGTTCATAAGCTTAAGGAGCGCATCTTTACAGCATTTAATACCATCAGAGGGGAGCGTGGCATCTTACAGAGAGTCGGACAAAACATGGTTCGTCGTTGCACATTATGTAACGAAGTTGGTGATCGTCACATTAAACATTTACTCTAATGTAGTGCAGCCACTGATTCGATGTATAGTTTGATTGTAATCTACTGTTTTGTCAATAAAACTTGTCATAAATAATGTATTCTGCTGTTTCATTCAGCATACCGAAAGTGCTATAGAAACTTTATATCACATTTCCGGCTATGGGTTCCTTATATCAAAACGTTCAAAATTTCATCCTCTACAATCCCCCAAATTTTTAAAACGTCATTCTGGTACACCCTGTATAAATTAGGAGAAAATAAACTTTGAAAGCAAAATAAAGTTATCAGAATAATTAAAATATATGTATACTAGGTTATATTTATCTTAAAATAGCTTAATTAAGGGCGTTTATATTCGTCTACACTTAATGAATTTTCTTTTACATTTAATTGAGATGTAGAATTGATTTAGTTATGAAAAATTAAATAAACAAGATTAGAATTTAAAATATATTTAAGAATTATTACAATTAAGCTGTAAACATTTCAAACATTACCACTTAATAAGGAATCTGAATGCTATACACGCACATAAAACTCATAATTTATCAGCTTTATTTTTCTTATTTTCTGCAAAGATATATTTTATTTTGATCTCATATTTGATATCAACCTTGATTCGAGAACTAGTTCACTCCAAACTTACCTTTTTTTTTTTCTTTTTGACAAAATCATAAACCAGTTTGTTCAAATTTTACTTTTAAAACTGCCAAATGTTATGCCTTAAAACTAGGCTATTTAAGGCTATTTTATGAGTTAACATCACGATGCTTGTCTTTAGAACTTAAATTAATATGCTAACTCGCTATTTTTAAGTAAATTAATTAAATAAAATGATAAAGAAGTTAAATATTTGTGTATTTTATACGCTCCCCTACCAATTTTTCAATGCGGATTTAACGAAATTAATTCGAATTTGAATTACATTTTAACTTGTTTTACCTTATAAAGGCAAAATTTAATTTAATTTTAAATCTATTTAATGATAATTTAATCGATTATTTGAGTAGTTATTTAGATAAACCAGTGTAAAAAATTAAACGAGTGTTATTAATTTAATTTTATTCATTAAAAAAAATATTTATAACAGTTAGTAGCGTTATATAATCTAGAACAAAATATCCATACTAACTGAGGAGTGACCCCGAAAGTGTCAAAGGTCAATTGAGTGGGTGTTTCGTGGGTAGGGGAACCAAAAATAAATCAATACTTCCTCACCCGTTTCCGAACTGCGAAATCATGGAAATTGTTTCATTTCGTGTGCAATCTTTTGTTTTTATCTTTCAGGAACATCCCTTATGGATCAGCAAGGTTGGTCGGATGAAGCAACTCCGGAGGGGGAGATAGAAACGGCCAACAACCACACCCCGGCTCATACACCCCCACACAGTTCTCCGCCCCCGGAAAGCCCTTCAGGACCCCAAGGTCCGGCCCCAGTCGCAGTTACCAGGTATTCAGGGAGTCCACTACAGGAGAGTTTAAGCCAGTCAGGCTCCACCCAAAATCTTAAGACATTGACGCCAGTCGAAACAGTCCCGACTGTCGAAGACAGGGAGTATCTCTACCACAGCGCCACCACGCCGGCTATGGTGAGCACATATGCAAGCATGGCTCCTGTACAACACAGCATGGCAAACAGTCCCGGATATGGCCACCACGACATCTTCGCATTGACAGGTAAACACGGTAGCCTGAGCCCCGTGCCTAATTACGGCCATCACGTGGATCATCTCACCAATTTGGTACCACCGCCGTCCGGGATGGGCACGGCAACGGTATATCCACCGTCCAACACCCTGGCCGTTTTACCAATGTCGTACGTTAGCCCATCATCGGCTCAATCTGTAAATTCCGGAGTTTGGACCACTAATCCTTCGGATCATCAAGTAAGTGCGTCATACGGCATGACCTCGACATCGGCGCTCTCTCAGGGCCCTCACCTGAACGTGGGACACGGTGGGCCCTCCCCAGTAGATCCTAACGAACTGTCACGTACCAACGGATACTCCAGCTTTACATCTACATATTTACGACAAGATCAACCAAACTGGAGCCTGTACGACAGTCCGACAGTGTCGACAATTCAGCATCCCCCACCTTACTCTTTAGACAGCATGGGCAGAAGGCTAAGTCCAGGTAAGATAAAAACTATAGATATAGTCAAAAGGACCATTTATCATTAAGATTTATACCTATTTGTTTAAGGGGATGGCCCAGTATTATAGAAATGCGTGCCTTTCCGCTTCCAAAATCCGCACTCCTGCACTTGAAGGGTTTTATGCTAGAGTAGCTTAAACATACTTTTTAAGCTTCTAGATAACTAAATGCATCTATAATATGATATTATAGGGAAGTTGCTCTAGATAGAGACCTTTCTTGGGCACAAATCAGTGTATAAAATCTTTATTGTCCTGGAAAGTCTTCCGCGATTGGAGTGTGTGCAACAAATGCCCAAAATCAAAGAAGGGGGAAGATAAGAGTCAGACTTATATCTTAATAGTTGAATATTTAAGTCTGTTTAGCTTGTTATATCAGTTTGATGACTTGATAGCACTTTTACGTTCGGCTTCATTTACCATTCAACAAATTAGGTTCGACCTTATACAAGATCCTGTTTATGCCTCGTTATTCATTAAATTAATCTGATACTTTATATAAAAAATTTTTATATAGAAAAATTCCTTATATATTCTCTAAGCGACACGGAATTTATTTAGGTTATTAAATTTAAATTTAAAACACTTAAGGGTGATTTGTGGGGAATTCTCACGTGTGCGCGCCCGCTAAAATTTTCCGAGTAGTGGGTTCATTTAATAATTTATTAATATTTATTGATGTTAGATGCTCGAATTAGTGTTTAGGCTGGCGAGAAAGTAGGTGTTTGTTAGAATTATTTAGCAGATGTGCGGCTGGGGTGGAGATGCACAAAGTAGGTTTATACTAGGATGTGTTTTACACGAACAACAACTTGTAATAAAATGAATTGTGAATAAAGACATTTATTGCCGTTGTTATCAGGTAGGTACATAGTGAATACCTGTTTGATAAGAATGAGGGAAAGTCAAGTTTGAATTTTTTTTTTCCAAATTTTAATGCGGGATGTTAAATGTCTCAGTTAAATACAACTTTATGTTTATGTAGAAGGGCTTATTATTTAAAAATTAAACTTTTATAATTATTTACAGATCATTCCGATTATTATATACAAGAAGACAGGGAATGTGTCAACTGCGGATCCGTCACCACGCCTTTATGGAGGAGAGATTATGCTGGACACTATTTATGCAATGCTTGTGGCCTTTATAATAAAATGAATGGAATAAACAGACCCATGTCGCGACCCCAGAGACGTATGGTAAGCAGAAAAATCGATTCAAACTAATTTATTTGTTAAATTTGACTGTCATCCGAGTGCAGGTGTTAAGGCCTTGAGTTCGACATTCCAATCTAAACTTTAGTTTTTGTGTAAATAATTAAAGTTTTGACATAAATTCCAACCGGTTACTTCGATACTTTAAACGTAACTTAATTATAATTTGAAGGATGTCATATCTCTAGTCACATAATTTTCGAATATTTGTCATGTGGCCTAATTACTTAACTTAAAATACAACGAGTATAACATAATAATAAACGTTCTATTTGTGAAATTTTATTGTGTTATTTACTGACCAAAGAGCTCGAGTTGTTTGAAAGTAAACTGGATGATATATCAGCAGATAGGCCTCATGATTTATGGTTTTAGGTGTATTTTCCTCTGTTTTGCTAAGTTTCTAGAATAGTAAATAACGTAAGAAGATAAAGAAAAGAATTTACGAAGATCATTTAGATCATAATTTTGCCAAATATGAGTAATTCTGAACGGAATTCAGTAGGCCTATAAATTCCAACACCTTAATTTTCGTCAATTGCGTGATTTTTTATGGCTTTTTCAGTGGTTTTTGCGGCTTTAGCTCACATTTTCAGTGATTTTTGAGGCTTTCTTTCAGACTTTTAGTGACTTTTCGCGACTTTTCCTCAGATTTTCAGTGATTTTTAACAGCAAATTTGAGGAGATGCCACAAAAACTTAATTCTAATTTAATTTTTTTACTTATATATATTGGAATTAAGTGTAATTAAATAATATCTAATTTAAAATCGAGTTTTAATGACTCCAAAAACTTGAATTATTTAAATTTACTGAAACAATTATAACTAGACATTATAATTATTTTAAAACTTAATATATAAATTAACTTTCTGATTTAAGCAGAATTAAAATTCAGTTAATTGTGGAATCTTAAAATTACATTTTAGGCCAAGTGTTTGTTGCATATCATCTCTCATAAGTGATTAGGATAGGACTACTTATATATTTAAAAACTTTAATTAAGATAATGTTAATTAAGAAAATTAATATAAACAAATCCTTTAAGGCAGAATCAAGAATTAATTTTTTTATTTCACAGAATGAAGTAACGCTACCCATACAGGAAAAATTATCACCAGTAGTTGGATCAGACCGCATTCATATGAAAAATGTAAGGATTCTGTCTTTTATGATTTGTTTTTTCCTTTCCTAACTTAAAATTGGCCTTCTTTTTCTCTGCTTTGATCTATAATTAATGCGTATAATTAGTGTAATTCACGAACAAAATCGGAGTTTAGATATAAGAAATGTAGTTACTTATTAAATCAGAGGATAAGGGAAGACATTTTCAAAAAGAGAGTAAAGCGGAAAAGTGAATGTGACGTAACGTGTCAAGATAATTTATGACTTAAAGAGCTCGTAAATAACGGTTCAGTGGTTTCTCAGGTAGGCCTACCCATCTGCTCTTCGATTGATGTATGAAAGTGGGCTTATACCCGATTCATCTGCATTATAAGCCCAATTAACGATATCCCAAGGGCTACTTAGCCTTAAGTTTGCAAGTTAAAGGGCTCTAAATTATTTAAGATCTAGATTTGAACCTAAAATGTCTGATTTGATTTTAGATTAGGTCCAAACGAATTATTTATATGGAGGAAAATAGCTTGGATCGGTCAATATGAGGCTGTTTTTTGAGTCATTCTAGCAATAATTTTTTAAAATTATTTTAATGTTTAGCTGCTATTTTTAGTTGTTATTTCCTATATTGAAATTCAGCAAATAATGTAGTTATTCTCTCACACGCTCTCTACTATAGCAGAATTACTGTTGTTAAAATGCGTGTAAACAAATAAAAATATTTAAATATTCATTCAATTTTCTGTAAATAATCCGTAGATAATAAAAATATAATAAAATTTATATTATGTAAATACTTAGTGACGTCATATTTTATAGACAAGTTCAAGAAGAGCTGGCCTCTCCTGCTCCAACTGTTCGACCACGAATACAACACTATGGCGAAGAAACAACCAAGGCGAACCTGTTTGCAATGCGTGCGGATTATACTTCAAATTACACGGAGTAAGTTACTAAAACAAGCAATAATAAAACGTATATTTAAAATTTTTTTTTGACTGTTTACTGGCATATTCTCAGGTCAACCGGCCTTTAGCCATGAAGAAGGAAGGAATACAGACGAGAAAAAGGAAACCAAAAAACTCTAATCCAGAAGGCAAAACGAAACCTGGTAAGAGAACAAAGCCAGGACATAATTATTGAAACTGAAAACGCAACGTTTCTCAATCGGCGAAGTGTCACAAGTCACTTGTCACAAGTCGCGGTTTGAATAACGTTGCATATATTTAAAAAAGGCCGAAAGTAGGCTATAACTTGGTGTTTTTTGGTAGCTCCGAAGAATTCCACATCAGAATGTCAAGTGACCTATCAACTGTCTCCACATTCTGACCAGGGCATCCTCAGTAGACACGATATGAAAACAATGAGCCCGATCCCTCAAGGAAGATCCCTGTCATCGCCCATTACACCCTCCTCGGACATACTAACTCGACACCTTCACGGCTTGAACATGTCACCATTAGATCAACCTGCAACCATCATGTCGACTCCAATCTATTCCTCATCAGTTTTAGCGTCGGCAGGAGTACTAAATTTAGAAAACGAAACAAAAGTTATCACCAATGCACCGTCGGTGGTGGTGCACAACACAGCAAACTAATTGTGCCATTTAAAATGACTGCTCGAGAGGAGAAAAATAGTCAAAAATTTCGCGAAATTCGTCTCCAATATTAACTAGAAATTAGGATAAATATTATTTTGATCCCTACTAAATTTAGGAATGAACTTATATAGAAAAACAAAAAATGTATGTACGTTATTCTGTTTGTGTTTTTTATTATTATTGCATTCTTAAAGTCGTTTCTGTGTAATATATCAGTATTATGACTGTAATTTTACAGTAAAATGTATTTAATTGATTAAAAAAAATCGGATTTAATTATCGATTTTGTTACTGTAATAGTACAAAGCCAACATACAGAAGACCAAAGATGTAACAATAAGTTTCTGTTCTTCTACAAGAAAAAAAAAGGAAGAAATTTTTAGTACTGTAATCGCACGTTTGGCAATAAAAATGGCGTTCATTTATAATCCCTACTCTCGTAATTTCACCTTATTAACATAAAGCGCCATCTGTTAACGCACGTGACAACTATAATCTATTTTAAAAAATTTAATTTATCGTTACTTATAATTAGATTAATAGAGTAGTGTCGCCAATGACGTCTCGAGTTTTTAGGAGCGTGTATGAGCTCGTCATGAGCTTGACAGTGTAGAAAAACGAACTTGACAGAAACAACAACATCTCTCCTTAAGTCCTGCGGGGATAGTTTTGGTGTCATTGGAACCATAAAAATGGGATAAGGGTATCCTTAAAAACTATTGATCCCGATTAAGATCACGAAATCGGTACTATAATGCTTCCACCTTGCATCGTGCCCTATTCTCTGCCATACTTTCTCACCATATTTATACTTGATTTCCCCTTTTTTATATTCGATACTCCGGTGTTATATGAAATTCTTGGCATTCTTTCACTCTAGCATAATCGGGACTTCATCTTAGACACTGTTAAATGTCTATATAATGCTTGATTTTTCTATAGGATCTATCAAGAGATTAATAGGATTTACAGGTTCTATCAATGGATCTATAGGATCTACCACCCTCTATGAAGGCGAAGAAAAGTTAGGTCACAGATCCGTATGAAGTATAAGAAAGATATAATGTGTTTAAGGAGAGTAGGTAACGGGTTCGAGTTTAGACGTTGGGTTGGTTTTCTAATGTTTTAACCAAGGAGAGTTTCGCATAGTAATGGTCACACTAGTCTATTTTATGCCTTTTCTTGAAAGGTTACGCGGGCACGGAATGGTCGCAGACACCCAACTGGTGGAATACAGAACGAGCTAAGAAATGAATTATGTGTTTGTGTCAGAAGACGATACGCTTCTGTGTCACTTTTGCTTGATTTGTGATAGGTCGACTCCCAAGTCGCTTTTATGGTTAGTCTAAGTCACAAATCTTCGGAGATTCCTGTCGGTATGTGAGGTAAGAACGAAAAGAACCACCCAACAACCAACTTTATTGCTGTCTTCTCACCTCTACTTGTAGATAGTCAACGGCTATCTCTCTTCGGTGCTGGTTGTACAGAAAATATCTTTACAAAGAACAAGATAATAGAATGGGTTATAGTTAAGTGTTGATTGATTGCAAGGTTCCTTTTTCGTCTTATCGGTACCGAATGTAAATAAACCATCCTCGCTCTTGTCATTACTGGCATAGATCTATCTTTTAAGTGCCCAAATGAGCTTTTATTGATTTTCTGCCGGGGCATTAAAGAGGTAATGAGACTGTGGAAGTGTATTTCTAATTTGTTCGATTTGAATAGCTCCACGCAGATTTAATGAAAGGGTCTATTTTGCTGCAAGTACTAAGGCGTTCCTATTCCCAATACTCCCCCCTTTCTTTCGAATTTAGCTCATTTTAGCGGTTATAATTGTATTTAATTATCATTACGGTACATTTTTTGCATGTTAAATCGTTATAGAACTTCGATTTTTTCTTTGAACTTTTTAGTATTTTAGGAGAGGTAAAGTTATAAAATTCTTTATAGCAAAGTATTTACATACCATAAACAGGCGTACGAGTGATACGCCTTGTTTTTATGACCTACCGAAAATTAAAAGTAGGTAAAATTAACAAATATGCAATTTAAAATATGAAACAATTTTTTAAAAATTCCTTTAAATAAACTCGGCATAGGCGGGGAGAATTGGCTTTTTACAGCAAAGTCATGCTGTACACAGGTATAAAACTGATATACTAATCAATGCTTAGGGCTTATCTTTAAAACAAATTTCCAATTATACAACCTTGAACAATTGTGGCTGCTACGAATGATCATATGATAAACCCAGACAAAGATAATATTGTATATTATCTGATAAATCACGTGGTGTTTTCGTGTCGTCCTTTTGTGCAAAACTTTGAAAGTCTAATTATCGATATCGTGTCACGAAAGAGTTAAATGATGATAAGCATATTAATATTGTGAATGAGTTTATCATCAGAATTTAATCAACAATTTAATTTTTATGTATTTTTATACATGATTAGGCATGTAAATATTTAATTTATGTATGTTTTAAGACAAAGTTTGGCTGTATAAACTATAATTGAAGGACAAAGAACTGTAGAGTTTATACAGAAATAGGGTATAAGAACACATAAATTAACTCTATAAATTCGATTTTAGAATGTTCGTTGCTTCTTCCTCGTGGTCTGTCACTAATCTCATCTTGCACTGATCAGTTATACTTAATTGTCAAGCTTTTTCAGTAGGAGTTCTAAATTCGAACTTTTCAGGAGAATACCTTCTTAAAATATCTCCATAATGGTTACATTAGTCAAATAGGCTATCTCTAAGTCAGAAATAACAGTGTTTTTATAAAGGGTAGAAGTCGGAAGTTGTATTATTGCTAAATGAGAAGGAAGAACACTAAATTAGGCTCTGTCGAAGGAACTGAGCCAAAACTCTAGTACAAAATTATATTTAGTTTAAATATGGAATAAGTAGGGAGTGTCATACTTAGATCTACATTTAGTTCTATACGTGAATATCATTCAAAGTAAAGTGTTTGGACAAGACATTTGTCTTACTTAGCTAAGGTGGGGTGAAGGGAATGCTACCGAGTGTCACTTTTTCTATCTCGTAATAAATAACACGATTTATCCTCCTCAGACTAAGGAACGTCAAACAACGCCTTTTTTTTTAAAAAAAAACTTTTAAACTGATTTTTTAATTAATTAATTTTATACATTTATCTATTTTTTTTTAATATTAATTTCCGATGTTTATCTCTTCGTGTACTTGACTAAAGTGATGATTAAACTGAGAAGTAATTTTAGAAATTAAAAAATTGTTTTAGAAAACTAATTGATATTCAGCAAGCGCACGCTGCTATAAAATTTATTTAGAACGAAGTTTAACTTTTAGATTCAAAATTAATTTTAGGGGAAATTTTAGGGGGCAAAATTAATTTCAGAGGAAAATTATGGTTGACTTTTTAACAAATTTATTTTTAGTAATATCCGTATAAAATACGTTAAAGAAACTTTAATATACGTGTAAATACGTTTTGTATGGGGGTATTTTTATATAGAAGAGGGTTTTGTTTAGGCATTTGAACAATTTTGTTATTCAAACAGACAAACAATACAATGAGAAAAGCCAATTGTAACGGTAACAGTTACAGAGTGTAAATATTGCATCCGGTAGCTGGACTTCGTGGGAGGTACCACCAATGTATTGTGGGAAGACGCCATAGTTGTGGTCAGATAAGCTAGACTGAGGCGCCTTCGCCATTAGGCGGGCAGCATGATAGACACCAGGCTGGACATTAACAGGGAAATCATTGCAGGTCCAGGAGTCGATCCCAAGCGGCTGAGTGTCGCCAGATCGTCAGGGTGGATACACAGTAATGTGTAACACCAACTCCTCTGGACATTATTCAGAAGAAAGTGGCTTACCACATAAGTCTACTTAGATAGGGCTATCTATCCTGTCTCTTACCTGCTTTTGATTTGCCAATGTCGCCAGACAATAATGGTGCCTTTACTCGTGTTACATCTGACAATATCGCATTAACCAGTCCTCGAGGGCCTATTGTTTAAACTTTAATGGAAGATTATTGACAAAATATATATCTTTTGCTAAATTAATTTTAATAAGAGAGAGAGAGAGAGAGAGAGAGGGAGATTTTTACTTTCTCTCTTCATAATCTGCGATGATACGTCTTACAACACTTAGAATTCTACTGATATTTTATGCGGTGTAACATAACACCGCTAAAGTTTAGGTGACTTATAGGGTTGGGTAAACTTTAGTTTATATTGTACAGGACCCAAACTTACACTTCAGGGGGTCTGTGGCCGACAAAAACCACGGTTGGGTGGATCATGTGAAAAATTTCTGCTGTGTTTACATTTTGAGTTCGCTGACAATATTTCTGCTCTAATGACTTTGATAGCTTGAGACAAGTCTTGCGGCATCGTCTAGGGACAAGGAAATCCACTTAGGTTGAAGGCACGAAGACGGGGTCCACACTACACTGACCACCGATGTCCCATGTCTAGGACGTGACAGGAATAGAAGGTCTTTTTTAACTTATATCACTTAGACTGAAAATTCTACTTCTAACGTTATTACTTTCTAAGAAATAAAGTTTAACACATCTTATTGGAAGGTCTTCCGAGTATTTTTACTTTTATTTTTTCTAATAAACTAAAAATATTTTAAATTAATTTAAATTTTAGGCGCTATTTTATGTTCTAAAACTGTTAATGATGTTTAAAGTTTTTTTCATCTCCCCTCTCTTATTAAATTCCATGGAAAAGAAACTCTACCCGACACTATAAAAATTTATTGTAAAATCTAATCCCTTAACTAAAAACTAAAATGTTCTGTATGTCTAACCATTAGAGACTCATTAAAAGTCTAGTCACATAATTCCGGACTAATTCTGTCATAAAGCACGAAAAGGCGTCACTCTGTCGTAACACAGAACATGCAAATGTTGTATGTACAGAGGTGTCACGTGCCTGATATAAAACTCCGATAGACTACGATAAAAACCAGTCGTCATGTTTAAGTAAAAAAGGGGGAGAGAAAAACCTTAACAATTAGGTGACAAGGATAGTTTATAAGTCTGCTGCAGACTACTTTAGATTAACGATGTCTCCGGACTTTAATTAGTTCGGGTCTGTAAGTGTCTCTTCTTTAGTTGTAGTCTCAATTTTCAAGAGTTCACTGCAACTAGAAGTCAACAAGATATGATTTAAATTAATGTATAATGGCTCCATAATTATAAATGCCAAATTTAAAAGTAATTTTTTTCATTGTTTTCTTAACACAAACATAATAGAGGAACGATAATTGGGATTGCATAACTTACACAGAGATGATAATACTTGTTAACAAAAAAGATCTTTAATAACAATTAATATAATATGGAAACGTTAATAATAGATAGAATGGATGTAGAGGTGACTTAAAAATTTCGAAATTCTTTCAATGATTGAGCCCCTATCTGTTGCTCCACCTCAATAATAGATCAAGTGCATATTGGAGGAGATAAAGCATACACATATGTTATTTATTCAGCCAATAAGTTACAAACGCTAAGTGCTTGAAACGACTGGTTCAAGATAACCTTCTTGGTTTCGTCAACCAGCAGTCATCTACTTGACTTCGTTGTCAAATAAATTCTCTATGGAACACAATACTTCGTCTAGAATAATAACGATTGTTTCTTCTTTAGTAAAATAACAAAAATATTAGGATTTCTAACCTGTGGTAAGTGTATAATGTCTTGTTTCTTCCATTTATATCATTGGCATTGAGGTAGGTCTATTATGCAATAGGTTATTTATGCATTATAGATAATAGCTTATTGAATAATATATAGGTCTTTCGTTTGATATAAGTTACAATTCTTAAAATTTGGTAGGCTATGCTTGAATTATGCGATTTAAAAATATAAGATTTTCATATAGAAAGCTTCGACTTACAATATTTAAAACTGTATATAAAAAGCACTAAATTTATTAAATTTAACATAAATAAATAATCGCTAATTTCACAATTTATACTATGATAAGTCTTTTAAATTTGTTAGGAAACGTTAGAAAAATGAAGCTTTATTAAATTTATACTTATAAGATCGCATTTATAAACTTAAATTTCGAAAATTTAGATTTTAAATTTCAGTTTTTAAACTTGGAAAAACGTTCTGAGTAAATGTATTTAAATTATCATATTAAAAAGATTAGAAACGCTTTATCTACATCTATTTTTATGTTGCGATTCCGAACATGAATTATTTGTAGCATATAATTGACAACAGTCGAGGAGGAAAGAGCGTGTAATACGTATTTTCGTAGTGTTGCAAATTATATTATTATTAGTTAAATGAATAAATTTGCTAGTCTTTGTGACGTAAACTTATTCATTTAACTAACAATAATACAGCTGACGAGAGGCAAATATTCACATTGTCCCTCGTCAGTTGTCACTTATGTGCTGCAAATAATTCAGACAATATTTCATTTTTCAACACAATTAAAAACATATTACATTTGTCGCATCTTTATTTTCCTGTTTCTGATATTTATTTTATTAATTGCTAAATTTTCCAATTTAGTTTAGATTCGTTTATGTCTAAGTGTTTTCTAAGGCTTGCAATATATTAAAAATTAATATAAAAATTTATATAATTTTATATTAATTTTTAATATAAATAAACGTAAACTATATATAATTATAATTATACATAAAAATTTAATGTTGTAAGTTACGTAAAATTGATTTTTCAACAGGTTCTTAAGACCAGATTTAACAAATGAATTAAAATTTTAATTAAAATGTTTAATATTGCCATCACTTTTTTTTTGTAAATAAAGATTAAATTGATAAATCTGGTTTATTTTTATTATTACAATTATTTAAAAACCATTGTTTAATGCTTGCACAATTGTTTATGAATGGGGTTAACTCATACAGGTTATTTTAATTATTTTAACAGATAAAAAATATAAATTTTTATAATTTTTATTAAGCAATTATTAAGCAATTTTATCTAAATGTAAAAAAATTGCTTTCCTGCATTATCAAATAAATCTAGAAATAATTAATTTAATTTAAATAAAAAATAAAACTCATGCACATAAGAAATTATTGGGCACTTACTTATTTATAATTTGCAAATTAGATTTATTTAAGATCTAAAGCTTATTAGGTTCTTCTCTAGAAGCTCTTTACGATTTAAATTTTTTCTATTTCTGATGCATTACAAGATTTTTATTCAAAATATAAAGTTAAAATGTCAGTCTAAGCTTACGATTGAATTGAAAACCTTTTAAAAACATTCTAAGGTAGAATTTAAGTAATGAGACTTACAATTTTTACTCCATACGCACACTAAACAATTGCTGTATTGAACACAGTACATTATACACATAGTTTTGTTCCAGTCGTATTAGTTTAGTTACAAATTAAAAAATATTTATCTTATTTATCGAATTATGTTAATCGGGGAGAGTCAGGTTACTCTAATTTTCGTAATCTGTAGGCCTAAGCAACTGCAGTTGTTTTCATGTATTATTCAAAAAATATTATTGATAATTATGAGTTTATTTATATATATTAATTGGAAAGTAATCTAGTTATTGAGATAATGTTAATTTTATAAAATTTCTCAAAAAATTTTCTTACAGACTGAATAAAAGACATTTTCTAATGAATTTGCTTTAAACACGTAAAAAAGCTGATGGATTATAAAATAAATTGACCAGTCAAATTTAGATCTATATGAAATTTCAAATATATTTAATTTCTAAACATTTTAATGGCCAGACTTCAAAATTTCACTCTCTAAAAACATAATTAATTTTAGATAAATAAATTTTAACTAAATTTAAGCCGAATTATTTAAGTCATTCCTTTATTTATCTTATAATAATTTAGTTTTATCTTTACATAAAGGCTATAATATGGATTTTAGTATTTACATATACAATTTAACCGATTTATTTACATTTTAATTTCCCAGGTTTTTTTATTTTAAAATCAATAACTTGATATAATTTTAATGATATATTTTTACTATTTTTATAAACTACAGCGTTCAATTAGATTAAATATATATCCTTACAACTTAAAGTATTAAACAAGAAATAAAAATCACGCAATTACGCATATATCAAACTCATTTAACATTTTATAACAAAATTCAAATGCAATATTACGCACGGATAGAAATTTTTATGATACAGCTATCTTTTTCTATCGTGGTAGATTCAATTGGACGATACCGTAACACGTAAGGCGGAACTTTTCAACCGGCGACCAATAACAGACAAGAATGTACGGTATGAAGAACGAAGGAGGAGACTATTGGCGTAATAAGTCATATTATTTTTTTGTGTGGAGAAATGGGAGGAGTTAGTGTCTGAGATGAGGAACGATGCGATAAAAAGGTCACACAACACCCTGGGTGGTGGCTTACACGTCAAATATAGTTTTTTTCTTATATTTATTCGAGTATGGAAGCTTTTTTAATGTTAAATATTACGATATTCAATAAGGCGTCTGATTAACGTTACTATTTCAGTTAATTTTTTATAAAATACGCTTAAACGTAAGAAATTTTTATGCAAAATTTTGTTTTTATTTCGTTTCTAATGCTAAAAATCTAAAATTATCCCATTATAAGTAAATTTATAATGTGTTAGACTCAATGGGGCATACGGATGAACAGGAAAAATAGTGACATAGATAATATATAAAATTTTCCAGTTCACATTTTTCTTGGGTGAGTTTATCCAGATCTAAACACAACCCAAACACATTGAAGATCCGAGGTTATAATAAATCTTCACATGTGCATATGTGTGTATGATACAAAAAAGAAGTACGGCATTCTCCTAAAAGAAGAAAAGTCCCATCTATCGACATTAGTTTGTGATGACCCTAACTGTTCTTCTAATGATAACTTGGTAACATGAGTCTTTGTGCCACGTGCTGGGTGCCACGCGACCTGTTTTAGATTTGGAGGAATTTGACCCTCATGAACTGAGACAGCTGCGGCCATTGATTTATTTATTTATCTGCACAAAAACTGAAAAAATAAAGTATTCAGGCGAAAAAAAATTCGTTTTAATTCTGTTACCAAGGCCTTCAATTCAAAGATTTTAATTAGAAAGAATTTTTTAATAATTTTTAATTATGATTGACATCAAGGTCTGAAAAAATCTTTAGATCTAACACACGTAGGTGTAGGGCGTAAAATGAGATTATATCATTGTTCTAAGCCAGTTTTACCACTATAAGCCTTTTATTTTTGCAAAAATATCTTCAAAATATAAATTATACTGTAAATGTATTGCCTTAAAAAAATCAAGTATAGATGACACATTAAACTAGATAACTCCAACTTTTATAAACAAGTTTATTTTTAATACCACAAATTGTAAGTTTTTTTTACACTATTATAAAGTAAATTTCATGTATTTAAAGGCAAAATAAGGCCGGTAAAAGCTACTAAAATATTATTAATTCACTGATTAAGGCATAAAATAAATTAAATCGATCACTTTAATTACTTTCCATCATACTTATCATTGATTAATGTATCAAAGTCAATTTGCTTAATCAAATTCAGATATTTCATGAAAAGGTAGCAGAAAATGGTTATTTCTTACTGATTATTCTCGCCTTTGTACCCGTTTTTTTTTTTTTCTAAATATGAAAGAGCAGGACTGGGAAAATTAGGCCTTGTATTTAATTATAAGTTGCTAAAACTTTGTGAACAGATTTTAAATTAGGGTTTAGGCCACAGATAAAGGCACACTTATAATTCTGATTGGTTAAATTGGTTAAATGAAAGGCCTAATTTTTTGTTAAATTATAGGCCTTTGATATATGTCTGGTATGGGAATTAAAGATGAAACAATAGATTTATTAAAAATCGTTAGGTCTTATTAGATAAAAAGATTTTTGACAAAAGTTTGGGAGAAAAGTAAACATTTTCTGTCAAAGCAAGTAGCTGGCGGAAAATGCAGCCTACGGGGACAACCGTTCGTCTTACTGTGAATCTGCTTGAATGAACAGAAGGAAGTTATATATCTTTTGTGACAGTTCTACATAAAGAAACGAAAATCTCCTATTTTTCCTTCTAATTTACATAATTGGCAAACAACTCCCTAGAGCCATAATTAGTCCTTTTAGGAGAAAACGTTACAAAATTGCAATTAAGCAAATTAATATTCCTTATATATGCCGCTATAACCACAGAATGAATTATCTATTGTGAAAAGTAGGAAGAGGGAAAGCGAAAAGAAAAGAAAGAAAAAAAATCCACGATCTAACTAGACTTGTAATAGAGAAAGGCTATAAACTATAAAATGCTATGTTGGACAGGGTTACTGGGAGATAAGGAACAAGCGGGAGATAAAATTTCTGTATCAACTTCCCAGATAATAGTATGGTTGTAATCTATTGTTTTATTTTTCTAGTAGCTTGGATGAACTGTTTCTTTCCAACCCTTTTCTCACTTTCACTTACCGAAAACATGATTAGAATTAGGTGTTGCCTATTGTCAAAACTAGCCTATAACTAGCACATTATCTAGTTTAGAATTAAGTTTTATATCTCTATAATCTATTTTGTATAGTTTTAATTGAAATGTACACAATTTATTATTATAATTATAGATAGAGCGCTTATTTTAAGATGTAAATGAAAAAAACAGGCTATAAATAAAATATTCTATAAGCAAGCCTACAAAAAAATCATATTTAAATCTAAATAAAATCTAAAGTTTTAGTATATGTATCTTATTCGTAACACTGTCTACAGTTAAGTGTAAATATAATTATATTTTAATATTCTCAATAAATTTTGATATGAGATAGATTTAATTGTAATATACAAAATTAAAACAAATGATATTTTGAGTTTTTAAATATTTGTTATCATTTACAAAGATTCTAAAATTCAGAATGTTTAAGGTTACATCCGATATTTGCTACTTAGAAACAGCTCATGTTTCAGGACACGTAATCTGCTTAAGCAAACCATTGGCATAGTATATTTTGCTTGAAACGAATTATGTTATTGGTCAGCTTAGTTAATTGCTTATTATTTAAAAGTGTCCAGTCCTTCAAACTTTCGGATTTACAAATTCGAAGCAGGATGTTAATTCATAAGGATCATTAGCATCTTTTTTTACTGATATCAGTAACTAAAGAAACTCTTTGGTAGTTAGGCTTATTTTAGTATACAACGAAAAATAACAGACATATTAATCTAGTGAGAAATTCACCGAAATATAGAGTTCTAACACATTAATTTTAATCTGTAAGTAGAATAAGAGTAAATATCTAAGGCCTGTATTAACGCCCTACATTTAAAATATTTTTAAGGAAATTAGACTACTTCATAAAACAATGGGCCTACAGTTGGATTTTGTAGAGACTATTCTATAAGAAATTTGTCAAAGATGTCGCTTAATGATTACAGGAGAAGGAAAGAATATTTTCATTCAAATATCAAATATTTTTATTTATTAAAGAATTAGTTGATCAAATATTTATAATAATCTGTTATTTATCTTTCTATTGTTATAAATAAAACCAGTTTACATGATAGAACGTCGAGCGAACAATTACTGAAAGCATTAAAATTAATTCTTGAACAAAATTCTATTTCTAGAAAAGTTCTTGAAAAATGAATAAATAAATAAATGTTGGAATATTCGAATTATTAATGAATTAATAATAATTCTAGACTTGTATTTTCTACATGGCTTCTTTAGAATATATTTAAATCCCTTAAAAAGTTTTTTAAAGCTTAAAAAATTCTTTGATATAACTTACATAAAAATATAGGATAGTTAGATCGTTTGTAATGTATATATTTTCGTGTTTTTGTTTTTAGTTTATTGCAAAATATTCTGAGTGATGACTGTCTAAATTTGAAAAGTTAAGAGGCCTATTCTTACAAAATTCTCGGTCGTTATCGTTAAAATCCAGACAATTATCCCTTAAAGGACCTATTAAAAAGTGTAGGCGATTTTTAATGTTGTTTACATTTAAGACTGTCTGGAGAGGGCTTGTTTAGACCTGGCTTATCGGTAAAAGAATCTTATTTTTAAGGTTAAAAATGTTTACAGAAACCAACTACATTACGCAAGATGATGATCACCCGGTAATTTACATCTGGAAAATTCTTAAGAATATATCTAGAAAGAAAGGGAAGGGACATTTGTTAATGATTATGGCTCTTTTTTAGAGTGAATTTTTGTGTTTACATATACTCAATTGTCAAGATTTTCCAACAGCCGATAAGGGGACTAACCGGAGACAATGTGGCTAGTCTAAAGACGATAGAAGAGATGATAAAGTCGCATTTTGGGGACATTTTGTGGTCAGCAGTAGGGAGAGCTTGGTGGGTTAGCAGGGCAGAGTGGCCAACACCTTTAGGCAGAGTGTGATTGATTGCAATGTCTAGTGTTTGATGGCGCCACTGTCGCTTTTTCCCATACAGAGGCTCAGTGTCAAGTGGACTTCGAACGAAAACGAGGCCTTCTGCCCTTTTGCTTACCTGAGCTTACACCTAACAAGTCACATGGGATCAAAGCTACCTATGTGCAAGGTCTGGTAAAGGTAATTTTTTTATATATATATATCACATTAAATATTCCTAAAGGGGGTTATCTTATCTAATCCCGATTTAGAGTTATCCGATTAAGTTGTAACTCCATTGAATGGCTTCTAAATTCTAGATTACGTTACTAAGAGAATTTATGGTATTAAAATCTTAGATAGATAAAATAAATATCGATAATAAATTTAAAATTTTGAATTTATAAATATCTAGAAGTACAGAAGTGTCAATTTTTAACACTTAACGAGATAGAAATCTGAATGAGAATGGGTGGAAACTGATGAATGAGTGGAAATCTAACCTCAAGCAGTTTACAACTATGCATGCTCTACAACTGTAAACATGTTACAGAATAAAAATTAATATATAAATCTAGTTATTTATACATAGACTAAACTTGTCAGAATAATAAATGAAGTTTCAAGTAAGCAATCCATCATAAAAGGCGTTTTAAAGGATTAGTTTTAAGAGTAACAACCTCTAAATAATCTCCCAAGCCAATAATTTACTTACATCTATCCGTTTTAAAGGTTTTTAGTAACTAATTGACACTTTAAGACTAAAGTCATATAAGTGCTGTTTCTAAAATTAGAATTCTGAACTTCCTAAAGACCTAAAATTAAACAAAAGAACTTTTCAAAGCAAATTAAAGGCTTTTATAAAGACTCCGGTATTAAGCATTGTGAAGATTATTTTGAGTCTTAAGTATTTTGTAAGCCTGAAGGCATAAATG